TTCCCTCTCGTGCTCTCTATCTCTCATTCTCTCTCTCTCAAATAAATAAATAAAATCTTTAAAAAAAAAAAAGAATCCCGCTAGTAGTCCAGATGCTGGAGGAGACTCATTCACAAGCAAAATGACTGCATTTAGCAGCCCCCAAAGCAGCATGTTTGTGCTAAAGGCTTTATACATACCATGTGAGGTAGGTGCTCCAACCCATTCCATAGTATCAAATAGTGGACCTCAGTTCATTGTCAGCACTCAGAATAGCAAAGCATAAATCTGCAAGTGCTGAGTGTCTCCTGAACAGTCTTGGAAACATTTGGAAAGCAGTCAGTGTTAAGTTAGGACCATGACTACATAGTGTCTGAGGAAGCCAGATTAGAAAAACATAAGCAGTGGAAATTATAGTATGATCAGTGACTTCTACTCTCTGCTCCAAAACAAAGGCATAAATTTGAATTTTCCATCCATGATTGTCTTTCAGTTCTTTAGAGCTCCCTTATACCCCCCCATTGGAAAGTAAACAACGCAGAAATCTCCCAACCAAGATTCCTCTTCCAACTGCATTGACAAGTGGATCCAAATCACGAAATTCCCAGAAAACAAAAGGTATTTTCATTTCACCATATGGATATTTTCATGATTCATTGTATTAGTAATTATTAGTTGTGAGTTACCAGTAATCAATTAGTAGTTATCAGTCCTATAAAAGGCTACGGTGGTGTTCTCATCCTCATTAGAAGGTTCATTGAAACAGACCTGAAAGAAAGGAATTATCCTCCATTAATGATTTTTTTTTTCCTGATTTTTGTGCAGGTACAAATAAGTTAGTGGATAACAGGCCACCTGCCCTAGCAAAATTCCTCCCAAATAGTCAAGAACTAGGCAACACCAGTAGCTCAGAAGGTGAAAAAGACTCTCCACCACCAGAGTGGGATTCCGTGCCAGTTCACAAACCCGGCAGCTGTAAGTATGGGAATTTAGAAACCATGGTGCCCCACTCTGGGCAGGAAAACTCCACGGGGCATATTGCTTTGAAAGGAGGCCTGGCATCTGTGGTCTGCTGGAGCCCACTTGTACCAGCCAGCCAAAGCCCGTTGTTCGGTAGTCTGCCATTGGTGAAAGTGTCATAGTTTGTTTCGCCCGTGGGGGGAGTGTTTACACCAGAGAAACCAGTAGACAGTTCACATGAGGGCTTTTTTCCCAGAGCTGGTAGACCACACCACTTCCCAGTGTACAAAATGGGAAGATCTGTCTGGAGTGGTGAATCATCCAAAGAAATACTTCTTTATGAAATCATTAACTCAGCCATTTTTTAGCTGACTAGTTCCCCATACATTTACAGTGTAATAATCATTTTTGTAAAAATTCAGTCTTCCTTCAATTTGACCCACATCTTTTACATAAACAGCCTGTGTGAAGGTTTCATTATTTTATTCACTAGCTTCTTTACCTTGTTTGTCAGATTTGGCCTGCAGTAAATCATGACAGTAGCACAGGCTACTAAAATAAGATAGAGAGGTCCTCGCCAGAGATACTTAGGACCCAAAATAGAAGACAACAGAGACAAGCCAAGGGAGTGGCCTAATTATAGGGATTTGGGGTCAAGAGAGGACCAGTGGAGTACTGATTCATCTACGGTGTTAGAGTGAACTCACACTTAAACAGTTTGTGCCAAAGGGAAAATCACAGTTGAACAAAAGATCGTTTGGGGTAAAGGGGGATTTAAATGAAGAGTGGGTGATTGAAGCCCTCAGTAAGGTGAAAGAGGAAAAGAACTTGGAAATCCAGGTGCGGTGTACATAAAGCATGGCGCCTTTTACATTTTCACTGGAAAAAGACGCTTTCTGTGTTAAAACCTGTAGCCCCTTATTTGCCGTGAGACTTTTCTGGCCCTTTTTAATGCTACGTTTTGCCTGTGATGAGATGCAGACCTAAATCCCTGGTCATTCAAGAGATCTTGAATGAATCTCTCAGTAGTTCCGGTGTCCAGGCTGAATGCTTTTTGTTCCTTAGATTCCCCTCTCAGGTTTCAGCTGGACGCTGGTCCTTGGCTTCTTGGTGATTTGGGCCGTTCTGTATTAAACAACCATCACCTCCGCCACAGAGTGAGGTTTTCAGCTTTGGGGAGACAGGGTTCCCAGGGAGCCAGTTTCATAGGGTTGTCTGCAGCCCAGTAAAGTCAGCATAAGCTCTGCTGCTGTGAGTAACAACACGTGATACAGGAAAGAGGGGACATCAGCTGGACACAGCCTTCAAGACCAGATAGCTGGCTGTGACAGTGTTACCACCAAGTGGCACCTGAGGAACATGCTGGCATCACTCCTTTGGGATGGAGGAGAAAAAGACCAGATCCAACCCCATGTGAGTTTGGCTCCACAACTCACGAGGGCAGGAATGTGAGAAATGCCAGGCAAATGGTCTAGAGAAGAAAATGTTTGGAAAGCAGAATGCTGCGGGCCTCTGTTTCCTCCCCAGGCCCATCCGAGAAGGCCAACCAATGTCTCCAAGAGCCCAGTGCCTCAGGGCAGAGCTCCCTGTCATACAGCTAGATGGCTTTGCCACTGGGAAAAGTGTGTACTCGCTCAGAGGCCCACATCTGCATAATTATTTTGTGCTTTTCCAGCCAAGGAATATCTTACCCTGGTCCCACATCCTGTAACCTCTCTGCTCTCTCCACCAGCCTTACTAGAAAGTTCTACAGAGCTCCACTATATACACAAAATTGCTACATGAAACCATTAAGAATCAGTCTAATACACTTCCTCTACCCCTGCTTGCTTTTCTCCCTTCTCCACCCTTCGCTGATAATTGATCTGGCTGAGACCTCTAGCCTCCAAACCCTCTGTTAGCAGTGCTTCACTTCCTAGGCTTCCCAGCGGGCTAAAGCATCTCTCACTCAGGGCTGTGCGAGCCTGCTCCTCGCTGGGAATCCATGTGGAGAGATCGCTCTACCCCCAGGCAGCACCCCTCATAGCATGGTGCCCTGTGCCCTTAGGAGATGCTGAGAAAATTCTCTTGGAATAATGTCATGACTTTAAAAGACAACAAATCCAAGGGGTTATTGAAAGGCAAATAGAAAAGTTCTCTAATTACACATGCCCTATGCTATTCTTGGTCACCTCCTACCTCCCCCCCCATCTTCTCTCCTTACTTCAAGCATTAGTCCATAAGGTCTTTTTCTGACTTTTCTTGACTTCCCGTGTTGCATTCCAACATTTACTAAGTTTTTCTGCAGCTACTGGACCCAGTGAAACACATCCCACTAGAGGAGAGCCACAAAGGGATGCAGCGCATGCTCCCCCAGGACAGGCACCCGGGCAAGCAAGCACCACAAGGCCGAGTACAGCCTGTCCCACCATGGACAGTTCCCAGCTCATTTCTTGGGAGCGGGGGGAGAGTCAGAGAAGGTGTCACCCACAAGGGGTGGCTAGGGAAGGATCAGGACAGTTGTACAAATAATGGCCCTACCATGTAGAGGTGATATCAGACACACTGCTGTAGGGGCTTCCAAGGCAGGCCAAAAGGTGGAGAGCTTGGAGATGGGCCCTGAACATGGGCATCGAGTCAGCAGACTACAGAGCATATAAGAAAGGGATTAGCCACATACTCAAGGGTGAGAGCTGGTGGAGCAGAGACAAGGACGGGGAATAAGGGGCCAGCACCACTGAGGAACATCAGAATCCTGGGGTAGGTGCAAAGTGGCGCTGGAGATGGGGAATGAACGGCTAGCTTGGGCTTCGAGAAGAAGGGGGCTTAGCATGGCGGTGCCGTATCTGCTGCCTTGACACAGCCAAGGAACATGCAGCTTCATCCAGCCCCAGAGCCCTGGGGGCTTGGGGAGAACCGCAGGGGTGGGAGAGAGAGAAGTGGAACCACCGTGGTGAGCAGGCTTCAGTTCTTTCTGGAAGTGAGATGAAACAGACACAGAAAGTGGGAGTAGAGCAGGCTGTCCTCGCTGTAGACAGGGCTTACATGGGGCAGGAGGGGCCGTCAGGCAGGGATGAGGTGGGAATGTGCTAAGGTGGAAGGGCTGTGTTGGGCAGGGATGGGAAAGGAGGGTGACAAGACGGGGCACTTGTGCCAGGATAACTGTGGGTAGGTGCCCAACCTCTTGCCTCGGGAGCCCGTGGAGACTGAGCTTGCAGAGGCCGGAGCCCCTTCCTTACACCTCTTTGTACCGCAGTGGCTGGCACAGGATAGCACCCCGCTGGTGGATGCGCCAGATGATGCCGTTTTCTGAAAGAAGTTATGTGTGTTTCCTCTTAGTGCAGAATAAATATTTCACAAGTTTTTTGTGTTTTAAGTTTTTCAAACAGCTGTGTACACATTATCCTGAAGGGCAGCCGGACTCTTGTAGGAGCTCGTAGCCTTGTGGAGTGGAGTGGGGCGGCAGCGCCCCCGGCGTGCCCGCGGAGTGCAGGGCAGGGTCAAGTTTAGGTCTCAGGATGGTTCCGCGCGCCGCCCTGCACCTGCTACAGGTGTGAGCCTGGGTGGAAGTACCGGGACTCTTTCCCGTCCCAAACACTGATTTTCCCTGCCCGTCCCTGAAGGGTGAGGTGGGAGAACCTGCCCAGGAGCAGCAGAGCACCGAGGAGAGAGGAGTCATTCTATCAATCAGAACATCAAAAGTAATGTCAAGAGTAAAAATCAAAACACTACCTTAATGAGACCTTTTATTTTTCATTTTCAGCTACCGATAGTCTTTATAAACTTTCTCTGCAAACCCTCAACGCAGACATTTTCTTAAAACAACGCCAGACCTCACCGACGCCTGCCTCTCCGTCCCCCCCTGCTGCACCTTGCCCGTTCTCGACCCGGGGCAGCTACAGCAGCGCCGTCAACAGCTCCAGCAGGTGGGTCCCTGGCCGCCCTCCACTCCTCAGATAACTACGTTCTGTAGGTGCTTGCACCCTTCGAGTGCAGACGCTCAGTGGCCACGGCCTGCTGTCCTGTCCCACCTCCCCTGTCTCTTCTCTACAAGCTTCTGCCCTCTCCCAGGGTCGGTGCCCCCATGTTGGTGCCCAGCCTCAGCTGTGCATCATTTAACTTAGTAGAATTACGTTCCAATTCAAGAGGCAGTAAGCATCCTAAGTATTACATGAAGATCTACAGCCGCCCTGGGTGTTGAGGAAGCGGCTTTACAGGACGTGTATTTTGACCTTACGGCGGCGGAGCTGAGCAGTTACGAGGGGAAGGCTCTGGCCCCCGCCCGGCCGCCGAGAGGTGCTGCAGGAGGTGCCGTGCGCAGAGGTGGCGGCCTCGCGACAGGCAGGCGGGACCCCCTCGACGGTGCTCCCTGGAGGCCCGGAGCCCCGCCGTGTTCGGCTTAGTGTAACAGGAACCCCGGTGTGAGTGAGGAGCCCAGAACGAGTTCTTAGCGTGTGCCAGCATGCCGTCAGCACCGCACGCCCTCCCCGGCAAGCCAGCCTCGGTGCTGTCACCACCCCTACTTTGCACGTGGGGAACCACCCAGCCTGAACCTACAGCCGACCCGCCTGGTTGTTCTCTCCTGCCAAAGAGCCAGGGGGCAAGCTGCCCCGCTTGGGGCCCTTGCCAAACCAGGCCCTTTACCAGGTCCTGATGGGGGCTGGAGACTGGAACCCTGCCGCATAGTGTTGCCCACCAGTGAGCCCTTGTTCTCCTTGGCCCACGACCCAGTGGCTCCCTATCTAGTATTCTTTAAAATGGGATTGCAGCCTTTCCACCCCTAAATGCTCATCCCTGCCCTGGTCTCTTCCCTAGGGGCCTTCTGTCTTCACACCTTTCCCCGAAGTCCCTTATGTCCCATCGGACAGCACAGTCTTAGGTCTGGGAGCATTTTATGTGAGGCCAGGCCATGCTCTGGGGGCTGCCCTGGACTATTTCCAGGTCCCCGTCGAAACCTGGGCCCAGCCACAGTGAGGGCACTGCATGAGCTCAGTTCTGGGGCAGCCACACCGCCCAAGGCAAGTTCCCCCAACGGGCCTCCACCCTGGACTAATGAGGAATGGCCCCTCTCTTTGCTTCTTCCTTCAAGTGACCCTAAAAGCAAGCAGCCAAATGGAAGCAAACACAAATTGACAAAAGCAGCCTCACTCCCTGGCAGGAACGGCAACCCCACTTTTGCTGCAGTCACCGCCGGGTACGACAAGAGTCCAGGTGAGTGGCTTGGTGTCCCGCCTGTCACACCTGGGCTTCGGGCACGGTGGAATTGCCTTTGATTGATTCAGAGTCCATTGTTACAGGCGGGAATGGCTTTGCTAAAGTTTCTTCAAACAAAACAGATTTTTCCAGCAGCCTTGGCATTTCACACACTCCTGTCGACAGCGATGGCTCAGACAGGTACGGTAGACCATTCTTAATCGAAAGAAAAAGTCAAGGTTAGCTTCTTCCGTCCATACCTGTGTTCCCCCGAGATTCCAAGTAGGCTATCACCGCAGTCAGGCACCTCTAGGAGCTCTTGTCTGTTGGGTGGAAGCAGAAAGCCCAGTTGCTGTGCTTCCCCTGGTGACCCCCCGACAGAGGGGCAGGTGTGTGTTCATCCTTCGTCCCTGTCGCGGTCTGTCGTACAAAAGGATGTGAGCTGATAGAGATAGGAGAAGGAAACTGGAGTTCGTACTAGACAGTGTGTAGTAAATTACTGGAGATGCCACTCTCCTGACCCAGAGCAACCCCCCTGGTCACCGTGACCTGCTCCGATTGTCTTGGTTCATTTTCCCAGATAAATAACAGTAAAGACTGTCGGTACAGCCCCAGTTTTACCTACCTTGTACTAAAAGGGAGGAGTCCTAGATTTGAAATTTTTTAAATAAATCTTCCATTACCAAAAAGCAAACATAAGGGAAAAAAAAATACCTGTTCTCTCTGCAGAACACTTGCTTTGAACCAGGCTCACAGCTTCCGGGAGCTCAGAACCTCTCTGTGCCTGAATCCTTTGTGGCGTAGAAGCCTTTGTCTTTCATATCTGAGTGCCCCCAGGTGAAGCAGCATCCGCTGTGTCTGAAGCCTTGTGTAACAGGCCCGTTCCCACTAACCATTATACATCTCTGTGTTGCGTTTTCCTCCTGTAACATCCAGCTCGGGTTTGTGGAGTCCCGCCAGCAACCCCAGCAGCCCTGACTTCACACCCCTCAATTCGTTCTCGGCCTTTGGAAATTCTTTTAACCTAACTGGTGGTGAGTGTTTAACACTAGAGCTGTAACTAATAAGCCTGTGGACAAAGAAGAAAGGAAGATGCGGTCTAGTTTTATGTGTGGAGAAACACACTGAACTAGGAAAGCCTGTCATCTTTTTTTTTTTAAGATTTTATTTATTTGAGAGAGAGTGAGTGAGAGAGCGAGCCAGCACAAGTGGTGGGGGCAGAGGGAGAAGCAGGCTTCCCGCCGAGCAGGGATCCCGTTGGGGGGCTCAATCCCGGGACCCCGAGATCACGACCTGAGCCAAAGGCAGATGCTCAACCGACTGAGTCACCCAGGCGCCCCACGCCTGTCATTTAGGAGGCATTTCTAAGAGGTGTGTTTCTTTGTGTAGTTAGGTACCAAAAGAAGATATGCAGGCTGACTTGAGGGCAGCAGGGCTCCCCCAGATAGATGCTCGGGAGCCCGGGCCTACCCAGCCCCTGCGACAGCGGCCCACGAAGAGGGAGGCTCCGCAAGAAGCTCGCAGAAGGGTCTCTTCTGCCCCCCCCCAACCAACCAGCCCAAAGGTCTGGTGGAGCCAGCTCAGTGCCCTGAGTGTCAATCG